TGATTCAGCTGTTTCCCATGGATTTTACAATGCCCATTCAAAGAGAACAACAATATCACAATGAAACCCAATTTGTAATCATGACAAATAGTTCGACTGATACAAAATTTCTTCTGAGTATTTCTGTTACGGAGTATCATGCAGTAACTTCATGATGAATAAGTACTGAAGATGAGCAAATATAAACATTTAACCTGTAAACAGAAAGTTAAATTTCAGTTGAGGGACCAACATGATAGTTATAACAATATTTACAAGTCCTGTTGATCATCACACCCTTCAAGCTATCGGATATTAATCATTTGTAAAGCTACAAACCCGGAAGCTACTGAGCAAGGTGAAAATAATGTCTCACTTCACTGCAGGCCCTACATATGTCTTTCCCATATCAATAAGTTGAAAAATTGTGTTCTTGCCCTAGAGCTAAATGGCACCATTAAATTATTCAAAAACCGTTAATAACTCAATCTGAAAAGATGATAGTAACGATGGAGTTTACGGATATGTGTGGGTGGGTATGGCATACATATAGCCACATAAAGGGAAAGTTATACTAATTTACTAAGACTGCGACATAGTTTCTAACCTTCAATCATCCACAATCCACCATTCGGCAACAATGACATTTCAGTGTTGCAGATCTTCACTTCTCCATATATCTGAAAAACACAGTATGTATTCCACATCGGCAATCAACATCCTTAATCGGTAATACAAAATTATCATTACCAAGAGAGAGAGAGAGAGTGAAATGGAATACAGTCTTGTTCTTGAAAGTTAGTAGTTGTGTTCCTTCCAAGAGTCGTACGAACCCGCGTCTATGGAGTGGTAGGCCGTTCTATTGAATACGCTGAACTCCTCGTCGTTGTCAGTGAGTAGAGAATGGTACCGGTATCTCTGCTGGTTAAGGCTGGAAGAGAATAATGATAGCGAGTGAAAGAGCACTCTGCCACGCCGATAAAAGATACAGAAAACCTTCACTACATACCAAAACAAGTTTACTTTGAATAAAACAGTGTGACTTTCGAAGTACCTTCTGAGTGTCACCTTTTATATCAGTTAAGTGGCAACAAGAGGATTCATGGAATAATAAAAAAATATGATATATAGGAATCAGATCTACACAAAAACGTGAACAGCTGAGAAAAGACACATGGTTTTATAATAAGTAACTACCACGCAAATTGACGCTTCCAGTCATGTTACCTGATTTTCCTGTACCACACTCCGGCCACAGTTGATGTAATTGCCAGAACGATGATGACAACGGATACGAGGCCCACCTTGGCATGGGGACTCATACCTTTGTTGTCCTCGCTGAAAAGACGAATATGATGAGAAATTCAATGATACATCCTTTTTGTCTAAATTATATAATCATTCATTCATAGAGTCCGACTAGAAAAGGATTTTCATAATGGGGATGGTTAACTATTTATCAACATTATTCCATGAGAACAAAATCAATGACTTTCTTATTTGACAAAAAAAAAAACTACTTAATAAAGATACTTCAGACAGACCATTTAAATGAATACAGAATACAGGCTATTCCTATACTGTCAAACCCCACAGCAGGCAGGTGAAATACATATCAAAGATATTTTTGCAGTTCTATTTAAGCAATATGAAATAACCATCGTTCGTTTACCAACTTATGTTACAGACATTACACTCAGCACGTGACCATTCATGAACTAAATGCTGAAAGCAAGTTTGAACTTCTGCACCAAAGGACGGTTAATTCAGAAACACTGGGATAAAATGCTCACATTCCATCGTCAAAGTCATACTCAGCTGGAATCGCCTTGGGATGCGTTACAGGCTGTTTCTTTGCAGGTAGTTTTGTCTTGTCTTTCTCATGCTTTGAGATCTGAGCCACTACAAGCGGAGGCAATGGTTTCTTTTCTGTGGGGTGAAGAGTCGGCTTCTTTGCAGATGGCTTAGTAGTTCCTACCTCTTTGACAGGTTGTTTTAGAGCTGGCTCAACCTTTACAGGTTGCTTGGGAGTTGGTTTTTCTTTGGCAGGCTGTTTAGGAGTTGGTTTAGCATTAGCAGGTTGTTTAGGAGTTGGTTTTCCTTTGGCAGGCTGTTTAGGAGTTGGTTTAGCATGAACAGGTTGTTTAGGAGTTGGTTTATTTTCAGTAGGTTGCTTAGGAGTTGGTTTTCCTTTGGCAGGCTGTTTGGGAGTTGGTTTATCTTGTGTAGGTTGCTTAGGAGTTGGTTTTCCTTTGGCAGGCTGTTTGGGAGTTGGTTTAGCATTAGCAGGCTGTTTAGGAGTTGTTTTATCTTGAATAGGTTGCTTAGGAGTTGGTTTTCCCTTGGTAGGCTGTTTAGGAGTAGGTTTATCTTCAATGGGTTGCTTGGCAGGTTGTTTAGGAGTTGCCTTAACTTCGACAGGTTGCTTGGCAGGCTGGTTGGGCGTTGGTTTAGTATTAGCAGGTTTAAGAGTTGGATTATCTTCGGCAGGTTGCTTGGCAGGCTGTTTAGAAGTTGGTTTAACTTCGACAGGTTGCTTGGCAGGCTGTTTAGGCGTTGGCTTAGTGTTGGCAGATTGTTTAGGAGTTGGTTTATCTTGAGTAGGTTGCTTAGGGGTTGGTTTACCTTTGGTAGGCTGTTTAGGAGTTGGTTTGGATTTGGCAGGTTGTTTAGGAGTGGGTTTATCTTCGACAGGTTGTTTAGGAGTTGGTTTATCAATAGCAGGTTGGTCAGGAGTTTGTTTAACATTAGTAAGTTGGTTAGGAATCGATTTATCTTCAGTAGGTTGAGGGGATGGTTCATCTTGAGCAGATTGTTCAGTATTTGAATTTTCTTCAATTGCTTCAGTTACTTCTAGAATTGCTACTTTTGTTGTCATATCTACTTTAGCAAGTGTTGTCTTCTCTTCTGCTTGTGCCATTGCTTCTCCCTGCTGAATTATCTCTTCATCAGCTGTTAGTTCTACGGTGGCTGGTAAAAATAGATTAGTTGGTCTTACATCCACAGGTGTTGCTGGTTTGGGTTCTATCTCTGCTGTTGCAGGTTTTTCCTCTTCTGCGGCTGGTATTGTTTGTTCTGGTTCAGTCTCTATCTTGGCAGATGTTTTTACAGTCACAGGCGGTGTCGCTGCCTTTGCTGTCGTTTTCTCTGGGGCAGACGTTTTTGGAGATTTAGACTTTGATTTAGCTTTTGCATGTCGAGATTTTTTGATGATTTTGGCTTTGATAGGCAGAGCAACGCCTGCTCCAAGAGGTACTGTAGGTGCCTTTTTATCAGATGTTGCTTTACTAAGGTCTTCTTTAGAAATTACGGTTGGCGTGGTAACCTTCACTTCAGCAGAGTCTACGGCCTCCTGGTTTTCAGTGTCTTGTACTTGTTGATCTTGTGCCGGACTAGAAGTTCCTGGAAATATTAAACATTTGATTTATACAGGTACATGATAAGCTAGGTGTGTCAAATTCATAGTCCAGTGGCCGAATGTGTCGAGAAGAATGGTTAGTCATACATTAATGTAGAATATTATTAAGAGGCTATGAACAGGCAAATGACTTTCTTATCCCGATGGTAATACTTATATTAAAAAGATAAGATACAACTATACAATAAACTGCGCATGCATACTAAAGCATATACATGCACATTTTGTTGTCATTAGTGTCATCATTTAGAATTTAATAATTAACACCGACACTAAGTACAGGTATGTAATATTTGATGGTTTTTGATAGGGTGATCTTGGGGAGCCACGTGTGTATCTTTATTAGCCCAAAATTCAAATTGAGTTGTTGTTTTTTAATGGGAGGAATAAGTTGTTAATTTTCAGAGACCACAGCCCCCAAAATGTCTAGTAAGTAAAGAAACAAACTACGTGCCACAGGCAATTCTGTTGTAGTTATCACACAGGTATGTACATTCTCATGTTAACTTTTACGCACATTTTAGGCAGAGTCTTGACATTAAACGTTAAAAGCTGTTACATTCTGACGTCCGCTACAAGCAAATCCATCTCTTGTAACGGTCTCATCCGAACAAATTGGATGGCTTTCCTAAGGGAACGGCCACACTGCGCGCTACTTAATAGAAGGGTAGAGGGTAGCGGGATGCTGAGCGGGTGAGAGGCAGGAACAAACAGAAATTGTCTAGTACCCGCTATCCTCCCCGCTAGGTGAACCAACAAGGTCAAAATCGCTCAGGGGCTTGCGGGACGCCAGGCGATGTACACGTGCACCATTTCAGACATGAGTAGTGAAGAAATGATAGGTGCTGTTTGTCAGAGGAAGGTGGCGTAGGACACGCATACCCCCAATGAATTGCCTTTATATAAAGACTGAGCATGCAGCTGTTGATTCACTGAGTAGTATGGCAGGACTTCCCGCGCGATTTTCCCTCTTCCGATATCGCTTGCCTCTACACGCTAGGCATCCCCCTACACTCTACCCTCCTAGCAAATCACGTGCAGTGTTGCCGTACCCTAACGGTTTTTCCGACCAGTTGGCTCGTCCGTCCGAGTTCGACGTGCAGTTCGAACACAGCATTATAACTATATATTGACCGCAACAAAGTTAAGGCCAGCATGCATGCCAAGCGCCTTTAAAATAAATAAATGAATGGATGAGTAAGTAAAACTTGTGAACACAATAAAATGGAACCACCTAACAAAATACTTTGCTTTCCATTTAAAGGGACTTATTATATTTACTTTATGTGAGATTACGAACACTGCAGATAGTAAAACGGCTTTAGTTCAACTAGGTAATATGCAAGCTCTCTAATGCATGGTTCTCTTCTTTTTTTTTTTTTTTTTTTGGCTGCGACCCCTACAAATTACTTCCACAAATTCGCGACCCAATCCCCCAGAAACAAACCATTTCTGACAATCACTATAGCACATTGCAAAGTAGTTACCATTATCAATAGTACAAGATTATTAGTGTTGAGTAATATATACAGCAAAAACATTACATGGCTTTATGATGCACTATCGAGCATCGAGCAGCTCGATCACCGTTGACAAGTACTAG